AAGAACTTCTTTGGAGACCTTGGATTTGTACCAACTATAAAGGAACCTTTGTAAATTTTCTGTGATAGTGAAAGTGATGTTGCCTTAGCCAAGGAACCAAGGGATCACGGGAGATCCAGACATATCGACAGAAAATATCACTTTCTCAGACATCGTATAGAAAAAGGAATCCTCGTGGAAAAGAGGGTATCATCAGATGAGAACCTAGCAGATCCCCTCACGAAGGGACTGAGTTGGGTTAAGCATCTTCAGCATGCTCGGAGCATAGGGCTAAAGGATGATATAAGTTTTAGTACTTAGATAATTTAGAAATTTGTAAAGTGTACTTGACATTTGATGATAAATAAAAGTTGTGTTTATTTATGAGTAAAGTGTTTCTATCTTTTTTCAATCGTTTACTATAATTTCTTTTGCATGTTTTGACTTCTAGAATTTTATGTTGTGTTTTACATATTATTCAAATTTTCCACAGTTGGTCATATGTTGGAAGTAGATATGAATTAAGACTGTCATGAAGTTGGTTGTAGGTGTCAAGTTTTGGGACAACACTTCATGAGTACTCATAAGTTCTGAGTATTGGAATCAACCCACGCTCACTGGTATCACTTCATGGAATTTATCTCGAGTGATCATAAGACAGTAATATCATATAAGTCTTCAAACCTAGAGATATGATTTGTTACCTATGAGTTGGTTATGCATTGATTATACGAAAACACATTGGTAAATCGATGTTATAAGACGTGCTTTTGGGTATAATTCAACAAGTAGTAGAGCAAACATATGAGTCGAAGTTTATCTGTTCCTTCTTAGATTAGAAGCTGATATTTGGGCCCCTCGATGATTTTGTTTTGACCTATGTACCAGGCCCGGTCATAACTAATTTGATGTGTTCAATTAAGTTCTTTGTCAAAAAAATCGGAAATCGGGAAACAAACTGCTAGACAATAAGAAAGACATTGCTCCATGTATTTGTTCGGCTGATATCTAGAACAGAGGATTATATAATCACTTATCTTAAATGGTGTATCATCATCTTCTCGGTTCCGAGAGACCTTGAAAGAGCTACGATTGCTGATTGGATCCTGAAGTCATACTTGCATTTATAGTTATTAGACTTATCCAAGTTGGAGACTGTTGGATAAGGTGTCTATGTCCATAACTATTTCTTGTATGTACTTGACCCAACCTAGCATGGTCCATTTGGGTTGCATGGCATTATGCATTTGGATAGACTAAATGAGAGAAATAACACTTGTGGTTTATTAATATATTATAAGTTCTAATATATTAATAGTATTATTTAATTAGTATTGATCAAGAATTAATGTGGAATTAATTAAGTGATCAAAAGATAACTAATTAAATATATGGGTTGATTATGTAAATCATTCATAACTTGTGTACTGGGCTAAAAGGCTCCATAGATTATCAACTTGGGTTAAACCCATTGGATGCTCCATGGGAGTTACAAACCCATGGGTCATAGAAATGAAGAGTCATGACACATTAGGGTTTACATGATGTAACCCTAGATGTGTCACACTATATAAGTAAAATCATCTGCACCAAAATCGGCTACACACAAGAACAAGAGAGGGATAGGCTGATTTTTAGAGTGTTTGTATTCTCTCAAAAGTCATTCCAAAGGCATTTGGTGTTGTGTGAAGCATTTGAGGAATCAAACTTGGGGTGCTAGGCTCACAAGGTTTCAAGGAATCAAAATCAACTACAAGGTATGTAATTCTAACCAGCTTTTTAGTTTAAAAGTTCCCCATGTACGCTAGATAGGATTGTGAACCTTGGAAATCATATTTTGCATGTATTTAGAAAAACATAGATCCAAGGTTTTCTGGGGTTACATGTACAGTTAGGAAGTGTTAGAGTGCTCAAAACCCATCACAAATCCCTTAAACCAAGGCTCTGATTCAAACTAGTAACGTCCCAAAACTTAGAACCAATTTTTTTTTTTTATATTAATTAAACCAACAACCAAAAATATTTATCAAAAACCATAAAATAATCATAATGTATCCAAAAACATCCCAAAGTAAATCAGATTCAATTAAGCGGAAAATCGTGGTGTGTGCAGTGTGATCAACTCGAGCTCTTCTCCTTCGATCCGGAAATACCTGAAACATAAACTGAAAAACATAAGCACAAAGCTTAGCAAGTTCCCCAAAATACCACATATCATACATATATGTCAGCTCAAGGTTGTAATGGATCTATATCACCCCCGAATCTATTTCAACTCATGTGTCAGCTCAAGGCTTTACCAAGTCTATTTCACCCCCGAGTCTATTTCAACTCAATCATTATTTTTCAACCGCACGGGTCTATTTCACATCTAGGTCTATTTCACCGCACATACATACAACAAACAGGTATACATGCATACATCAAGACTCACAAAAACAACAAGCACATCCAACCCTAATATCCTATAGTATTTTGAGCAAACTCACCTCAGTCTGCTGAAAGTCAAATAGATGATCGGGCTGCTGAACCGCAGAATTCATGTACTAACCAATCAAACAAAATCCTAATTAATAATTGGGTCATAATCATAAATGGGACTTAAATCGACTAATCCCGCCTTCCAAGGTAAAATGACCATTTTACCCTTCCCTCAATTGGCCCAAAAGCTACTGCCCAAATTCAATGGTACAAAAGCCCAATAATGGCCCAATTCCTAAAGGACACCCAAAGCCCAATATGAGCCCAAATCCAAGAAGGCCCAATACCTAACAGTGGCCCAAAATCAAAAGACTTGTGGCCCAGCAAAGGCCTAAAACCCTAAAGTCTAAAGGCGGCCCAATCATCAAAAACCCAAGACCAGGTCACATACGCTAAGTGTACGCCTAGTACGCCCGACGTACTAGATCGCATCCACGGAGTCGTGGATCCAGACGTGTACACGATGCGTACGCATTAGTACGCTCAGGTTACGTCCCCTTTAGCTCCTTCATCCATTAAGGCTATATTTGGCATACTAGCCGAAAAGCTAGCTGTTGAATAAAAAGCTAGCTGATAAAAAAAATGGCGTTTGGTAAAACTAGCTGAAAAGCTAGCTAAAATATATAAAATTATATAAAAAGACATTCAAGACTATGTGTTTCTATAATTAATTAAGGGGTATATTTGTAAAATTTTAAAAAAGCTCCTAAAAAGCTAGTCTAAGTAGCTTTTTAAAAAGCTAGCTTATAAGCTACTTCTTGGCTTACCAAACACGACAACATAGAAAAGCTCGAAAAATAAGGTAGCTTATCAACTAGCCGTGGCACGCCAAACACAGCCTAAGTCCTTATCATTTAAGACCAAACGTCCAAAATTTTGATCCATACCTTGGGGAACGTCTTAATCCATAAAGTCATTAACTTGGTGCCTTTGCATGGCTTAAATGGATCCAAATCTTAGATCTAGCATCCTACTTTCACCAAATGGGAATATGCTCATGCATGGTTGATCCTCAACCATCAAGATGCTAACTTTATGAACTAATTTCAGAAACATTAAGAGGGGCAACTCATAACTTCTACAATGAAAAAACCCCACTAGAACTCATGCATGGGACCAAAATGTGCTCAAAGCAAGCTCTAATCTAGATCTTGCAACAAAATCATCAAGATAGAGGCTTTATACCTTAATGAGGCTGAGAAATGAGTGTAGATTCTGGATCTAAAAGCTCCTACTTGACCAAGGCTCCTTCAAGCTTCTTCTTCTTTAAGGCTCACCAAGCACCTACTAAAACACACACAAAGGGTTATATCTCTCTAGATGAGCTAGGGTTTCGAAATAGGACTCAAAAGGGCAATATAGGCTGGGAAATGAGAGAACCTTAGGACATAAGGTTGCTTAAATAGGGTCCAAACCCTAAAATTAGGGTTTGTCCTCTAATGACGTACACCTAAGGTACGGGAGGTACACCTAGCGTACACACTCCCATCATGAAATTTCAATAACACCCCCTAAGGACCAAAATGGAAACTAAAAAATACACCAAGGGTCAAAATGAAAAATAGCTTGAATCGGGTGTTACAATTATACATTTGACTTATCTCTCTTTTATGATGTTTTGGTTAGTAAAACTAAGATTTAAAACTTCTCAATTGATGTTATTTTTGAATTCCTAATTGACTATACTCTAATGGCATTTATGAATTACTGTTGATATGATATTTGGGATGTTTTGTTACAAATGATTTTAAGTATTAACGACCATGATTTTTATTATAAATATGTTTTGTTACAAATTATGGTTTTCTATATATTCATAAAAAATAATAATTTGAGGCATTCCACCGACACCACAAACACCTTCTCCTTAAAATTCTTCACTCTATAAAAGACACTGTTTTCATTTTGTTTTTCAATTTTGACACTCTTTTTATTGCAATTTAAACATTATGTTTATGATTTTTTTTGCAATTGACCATTCACCCCATCACTCGGTTGCCACTTCTAATATGGCATGGGACTATGACTTGGCATTATTTGTTTAGGTGTCATTGGTGTTGCATGATGACATCTCCAACCTCATGCTTATTTTTTTCTATTGTTAGCCTCGTGCAACAGCCTCATGCATGGAATAAAGAACCATCTCTCTTTCTTTCCTACTCTTTTTTGCTTGTTTCTTAGACCGCCTGATGTCCATGGTTTATATGGAGCTTGCTAGGGTATTTTGAACATCTTGTTTTAGTGACTAAAGATGGCAAAAGTCAATAGCAAGCACTCCTAACAACTTAAACATAGTAAACAATCATGTTTTTGTGTTTCTAAAGCCTAACCGAGAGACAAGAAAGTGCAAGTATAATCCTTTGTCAAAATGAGATAACTGAGTCAAAGCTTTAAAAAAAAAAAAATAGTAACATGTCAACATACCACTTCAACATCCCATGCCACGTCAATAGTAGCAACCAGAAGACCAGATAAATGGTCAACAATGCAACAAAATCAAAAACATAGTGATTAAATTGCAAAAAATAAATAAATAAATAGTGACTTTAGTGCATTTACATTTTTAAACACTATATAAATCATAAATGATTTCACATTGTCATTCCATATGCTTAAACTATAAGTGATTCAAGAAATCAAATCATCAGAATTAAACTTAAGTAGTAAAATCGTCAAATATTAAACTAAATTAAAATCCCTTGCTTCCGCATATGAGATCAGTAGCAGTCCTTCAATGATGAAAAATAAGGATTTTGGTCACTGGTGTTTAAACATAAACAAAATCAACATTAAGCTTGTCAAAAGGGTGAAGAACATGACCAACAAAATCGAAACATGATTCCATTAGTCCAAGACCATAATATGAAACCTAAACAAAACCAGAAATAAGATTATTGGGAGAACAACACAAGATCATCTTTGTTTCTTATACAGAAATGGTGGTGTCATCTAGTTTTTTTAATTGTAAACTTTACTCTATTACACCATTGTAATTTAACTTTTGAGACAATGAAGGAAAAGAAGTGACCAATTAAGAACTGTACTTTCACTTTTTTCTCATTAGGACACTCTATGGTAATCTACTTGAATTTTTTTGAAACAGAATATGAGTAGCTATTTACCTTTTGCTCAGTTGCTTGTTTGGTCAAATGTTAAAAGTTGACTTGATGTTCTTGAAGCTGTTTCTGTAAGTCGGCATTGCTTGTTTCAAGCAATGCTATTTTCTGTTTCAAAAGTTGAGAAAAAAGAGAGATTCATAAGTTTTGTCTATATGTTCATTAAGGGTATTCACCGGAAATGTAACAAACGTCTTTACTTGAAGCTCTTCAAATATGTGGAAGAGAAATAAGGCTGTTTCTGAGGAAACCTAAACTTTTTGCTAGTGTTATTTCCATCTCAACTTCCACAATTCTTCTTTCTTAATCCCTATAACAGGAAGAGAAATAACATGTCAGAGGTAACTCTAGATGTTATAAATGTAAGTACACATGCAGAAAGAGAGGAATGGGAAAGAGAAAGTACAAATTAAGAAATTGTAGTTAAAAGCAAACCTCTTTGGAATTCTTCATAAGCAAATGAGATAATAATATTCTGCTCTCAGCATCCTGCCATAACCTAGTAAAATCAAATGATACGGTCTTTTAGGCTCATAATTAGCATGACTAAATTCAATTTTAGAGGGGATAATAAAAAGCATAATACTATCCTCAAGAATCCTCCAATTACAAACACTGTATTTCATGTATAATTGATCCAGAAATGATTTAATTTCCACCAACATAGAAGCTGTAAATAGGAATTACAAATGACATGATCATACCAAATAAAAAACCCTGAGATTTTACATTTTTACTTTTTGGAAACTACGTAAACTCATAGCAAGTAAGATTTCCAAATTTATTGATCAATGTTTGAATGTTTTATTCCAAATGACTATGAACAAATATTGTATTCTGTACTTTTGTGCCAAAATATTGTAAGGAGTATATATTGGTTAATGTTGAACATAAGATCGGTTTATATATGAACACAACCAACTCTGTGTTTTTCCCAGTTTGGTTGTTTTTTTTTGCTCAATAGGTCATTAAATTTATAATTGACCAGCTAAATAGGTTTACATATATACCATATTGGCTACCCAAAAAATGTCCACAAAGTTGGTTGTGCTGAGTGAAAAAAAGTGTCATTTTCCCTAAAATATATACAACCTGGTATTATTTATATTTTGAAGAACCAACTCTGGGACAGGAAAACACCAAAACTAAAAGCACCTTCATTACCATTAGAAAATGTAGAACAACCTGAAAGAAGACTGCATAGAGATGAGGAAAGGAAAGTGTAAGTCTGCTGAGTGAAAAAGTATTGCCTTCACTGCCAGCTGGAAATACATTTATTTATTTATTGCTGTGTAAACATATTAGAAATAAGTTGGTTTGTGTGCTTGTTTATACAAGTTATGAGAAAAGGGTTTATAGGATAAAAGTACCTTATGGGCCATGATCCACTGGTACGCCAGACGTCCTTTGGGACACAGCTTTAAAGGAAAATATTTTATCTAACAAAAAAGAAATAGATTAAAATTTTTGAAATGATTGCAGAAAATGAAAACATGAAATAAAATACTATCACTTAGTTATTATCAGCATTAACTAAAAAGTATTACATAAAAATGACATGTACCTTTAAAGTGGGCGCCTTCTACACACAGATAATAATAGTTCAGTAGAGCTATATCAAGGCTAGGCCACAGAATGCGATCTTTGCTTAGGATGTATTCTCCTGTTGTTGTTTGGAATGCAGTGAGATCTCCACCAATGATGTGATTCCATGACTTGTAATAACTCAACACATCTTCTTCTTCTTCTTTTTCTTCTTCTTTTTCTTCTTCTTCTCCATCATCATACACAAAACTTACCCCACACTCCTTGCTAACTGCATCACCAATATCATCTGGTGCCCACCCCACAGTAACAATAACGTGGTCACCACATTCCATCTCATTCATCCCAAACATCCAATGGCTTAACAATATTACACAATCTCCACCTGCATAGACACTGTCAATGTAATGGTCGTATATCCAGGTGAGATTCTTTGTTATATTACTAAGTTTGATCACTGGAAAATCAAGGAGAACATAATCTACTAATACAAGCTTCTCATCAGGAAATGGAGAAGCCAACTGACAACAAAAATTTAATCCAGTGAGGTGGTTAGGAGATGATGGGATGGTAAATGACATCGATAGCCCTGTGGTTCTATCTGTAATCCAATTCGGCATCGCTTGGCCTTCATAAATTGTGCTGAATATTCCAAATTCGTAATATATCTGACAAATACAACCACCTTTATTAAACACGGTAATAATTATGTACATAGATAATCACACAAAGACATAGTTAACCAAAGCAAACCTGGATTTCAGATTCCTCTGATTCTCCATAACTAGAAGAAGTTGTCACGTGCTTTCCGTTAAGAAAGTCTAGCTTACTCCAACCCAAACTACATAATAGCTTTTCCTCAACCCCTGCCATTGGTTGGATTTTCACCATACCTTCAAATTCAAATGATGAAAATGCCACGATCCTCCGTCCTAGTGAGAACTGGAGTGGAGACATGTGTGGATCAAATACAACTTTTCGTATCAAAGGCTTATTAGAATCGAAATGAAGGTTCAAATGTGTGAGTGTATGTGGAAGATGCTCGACTGTCGTCAGCATTTTACAATCTCTCATACTAAGTGTCTCAAGCCTAGGAAGGGTTTTTACACAACTAGGCAGGGAAACGATAGGATTTTCATCCAGATATAATTTTTTTAGCATATACAGGCAACTGAAATCCATGGGAAAGGATTCAGTGGACAAATTATTATTCTCAAGTGACAACCTTACTAAAGATCTCGGTAAAGAAATCACAGAAAACTTTGAATAACTTGGCATAGCGTGGAGAACAACAGTGGACGAAGACGTTATTGTGTTTATGCGAATATTGTTAGACTTCAACATTTCCGATGAATCCATATCCCTAATCTTGATTTGAGATTCACCGATATAACAACCGTTTAGCAATAGTGTTTTAACTTTCTTTAACATCCCTAAGCTTCTTGGAAGTTTTTCAAGCTTCTTGCAGTAGCTCAGATCAATGAGGGCAAGTTCAAAACATTGCTCAATTGATTCACAAACCTCAAGTAATCCAATACAGCCTTTGAGTATTAAACCCTCAAGTTTAGGGAGGTGATCGAAGCCACGAACACTACGAATCTGTTCACAGAAACTTAAATTAAGAATCTTCAATGATCCAAGCAATCTTTTGTCTTTTGTGCACGATCCAATCAATTGCTGAAATTGAGATAAGATGCAATATAAGTGAAGTTTGTCAAATGGGCATACAACAGTAATACATGGAGATAAGTTACCTTTAACCTCTTATGAAGTCGTTGTGGATAGCTATAACAAATCTCAAATGATTCAATGTTGCTATATGACATGTCAAGAGCAACCACATTCTCCATTGGTAAGTCTGAAGGTATAGATTTCAAAGGGAGCCCATGCATACTCAACCATCTTAATTCTTTTGGGAAATTCTTGTAAGAGCCCGTTATTTGAACATAATTAAGTTGTAGAAGCATTAGCCTATCCATCTTACTCAATGCATCTGTTTTGAACTCAAGTGATCCATTTAACTTCTTTTTCTCAAGCATTCTCATGTCAAGGGTAAGGCCTAGAACATTTTTCGTACCCTAAGAAGGGGATGAAAAAATATTTTAAAATGTTAGACATGTATATAGAAATACAAACTGCTTTAAACAACTATACATAGCCCCTTACCGTTTCTT